GGGCATTTCGCTGATAGAATGATATTTAGTTAAGAGGCCAGCTGAGTTGCTTAATGGTACTTCTTCAGGTGGGGGGCACTTAGACCACCTCAGACTTTGGGTTGGAATAGGGTGTACAATCTAGGCCTAATAAAATCGTTATTTTTTTATGTAAGTATCTGAATTTGACTTGATATCAGTCTTTTGCAAACCCCTAAAAAACATCACTCAAACTTGTAGAAGGAGGGGCAGGAATAAAAATCAATCAGGTGTGTTGCAAGCAAATCTGCTGACACACTTAACAGGAGAAATGTTCAATCAGCAAGCTGTGGTGGATAGAAGACTCCCCTGTATCCTGTATACAGTATATACTGTAACTGTAAAACTGTAACAGAGCTTTTAAATGAGTAAAAAAAAAAAGAAGAAACTGAAAACAAAACTGTAGTTGTGGACCACTCCTATCCAATTTGCCATTAAATAGAAAGTGAGACTTGACTGAGTTGTCAATGGAAACAAATTCCATTTTGTACTTATTTTCTCTTCTCCTGTTTTAAAAGTTCTGTTAATGGGAATTGGAGCTGTTGAATGATTCAACCATCTATTCACAGAATTAAATACACTGTGGAAATGTATTAATACATGTTCTGTGAATGGTGGAAAGGGGAAAGGCTTGGGAGAGCGGCGCAACATTTCTCTGTAGCAGAGGCTGCAGTTAACTCTCACAATGCCAGAAGACAACCTCTCAGGACAATATCCAATGGTTCTGAAGAGGCACATAGCAGGCAGGATTTTTAGGAGAAGTAGCTGTCTGCAGGTAATGGGATACACACCATTACACATAACTAATGTGTATGTTGCGGTATTAAAAAAAAACAAAAAACCTAAACTTCAGCTTTAAAGTGTTACTAAACCCAGGACCCGGCATTCACTATATCTGGTCTCCCACAGTACACAGAACATGGAAATGCAATTGTTTTATTAAATATAAACTGCTAAATACCTTTTATCTTCAGCAGTTAGAGCAGTCTTGTGACTTCTATCAGTGCCCAGCAGAGCACTAATTAAAGCTTGTAGGAGAAGTTTTCATTCTCCTCTTACTGTCCTATGAGACTTCAGGACTCCTGACCCTCTGTCTGGACAGTGCTGATTGGCCCTGTGCTGATCACATGCACTCTCCCAAGAAAGAAAAAAACTCTCTAGAAATACACACCAAACTGAACTGAACAGCGTGCCTCCAAGTATCTGTTCTATCAGCAGATGGATTGGGGACAGTAGAAGAGGGGGAGGATCAAAGAAGACAGGCTCAAACATCCTTTTTACACAATGCAGAGAATTAACCCCTTAAGTTCCACAGTGAATATAACAAGCATGCTTTACTGCATATACAGATTGATATTTACTGTTGTGGGTTTAGTAACACTTTAATGTATCAGTCCTTGTTTTCCTGCTTATTCAGGTGCTGAGTACTTTGCACATTTTGTTTATTCAGAATCTCAGGAAAACATATTGCCACTGGAATATTGTCCTGCTTTCCCTAACTTTTTAGGGGTGGCATTTGCTCTTTTAGGTTTCAACTATTTTTTGATACATTCAAGAAGTTACATTGATACATTTGTACCTTTAAATCACTTGGAAATTAGTTTTCTAGACAAGTTGGAGGATGGCTTTGCAATAAGCAAGTTTATATGTCCACTGCCAAGGCTTCTGGGCGCACAATGCCTTAATGTATGGTTTTGAAAACCTCTGCACATGAACGCCTGAATGATTGTAGAAAAAATAACGACATCCAGATGTGCTTTTTCCAGCAATATTATGTTTCTTAAGCTTAACAAATCTATTCTGCATTTTTCTTTGTATTTTTAAATTTTATGGAACATTTTTTTCTTTTATTGATCAAAATTTTCAGATTAGCATTGATTGAATTAAATGCTTAATGTTTATTAGCATTTAAAGTATAAAGTCAAACCCTTACATTTTAGTGTTTATAGATTAGGAAATTGTATAGTATTTTTTTTTGCTGTGTATTATAGGGAAGATTTTTCTTAACTTATTGTCTGAAGGTCCAACTGGTAATTATAGTAGATTTCTCCAGGAGAAGGAAAGTCCTCTCCTAAGCAGATGTTACCAGAACCAAATGTCCCTATTTCTATTCTGGCTTTTCCCTCACTTAACGTCCCATTGTCAGTGGTCACCAGCACAAGCATAAACCTCCATAACAGGAGCACAGACAGCAACCCTTTTTTTGGCTTTAGATACACTTTATCTCTTAGCTGGCATGTATTGGTTTACTTTTATTTTACTTTCTTTTTCTTGGGAGGGTGAGGGATAGTGGACACTACATACCAGCAGTCCTAAAGATATCAATCACCAGGAAAGATAGTGTAAATCACCATAACAGGAACACAGGTAGCATCCCCTATCAAAGGTTCTAACCCATCACCACTCTACCCCAAAAAGGTTATGACTTTAGTTACAATTTAACTTTTGTGAGTCTCCAAATCTGCAAATTATATAAATATATATATATTTAAAATCTATATTTATATACACACACACACACACATATACACTATGGCCACTTTATTAGGTACACCTGTTCAATTGTTTGGTAACACAAATTGCTAATCAGCACATCACATATGAAAGCAACTCAGTGCATTTAGGCATGTAGACATAGTGAAGATGACTTGCTAAAGTTCAAACTGAGCATCAGAATGGGGAAGAAAGGGGGTTTAAGTGACTTTGAACATGGCATGGTTGTTGGTACCAGATGGGCTGGTCTGAGAATTTCAAAAACTATTGATCAACTGGGATTTTCACACACAACCATCCCTAGGGTTTACAGAGAATGGTCCAAAAAAGAGAAAATATCAAGTGAGTGGCAGTTGTGTGGATGAAAAGGCCTTGTTGAGGTCAGAGGTCAAAGTAGAATGGGCAGACTGGTTGCTGCGACATTTAGATGGTAGGGTCAGAATGTAACATGAAAGCATGGATCCAACCTGCCTTGTATCAACAGGTCAGGCTGGTGGTACTGTAATGGTGTGGGGAATATTTTCTTGGCACGAGCAAGGTGTGCCTGATAAAGTAGCCGATGAGTGTGTGCATGTATATGAGTATATATATATATATATATATATATATATATATATATATATATAAAATTATAAAGGATTTATATAGCGCCAACAGTTTGCCCAGCGCTTCACAATATAAAGCAAACGATACAGTTCAATACAAGAGGGTTAGGAGGAGTGTGTATATATATATATATATATATATATATATATATATATATTTTATTTAAATTTTATTTATTTATTTTAAAATACATTATTCTCTTTATGTGAGGGTTTGTAGACATCCCCCCAAAAAAATAGTAAGTTGAATATGTAAAGCTCTGTCTAAACTAACACCGCTATACAAGTACCTGTACCATTAATATGAACTTAAATAAAAGTAAGCCTCTAACGCTGATTTATATATATATATTTATATAAATATATATATGAGCTGGTGTGCTGGAGCTTACTTTTGTTTAAATGTAAACTTCATTTTTTTATGTGTTTATTTTTGCAAATGCCTACAAACCAATAAATAATGTAGAATATAAATATATATATATATATATATATATATATATATATATATATATATATATATAACCATGAGCTGGGGTGTGCAGGAGCTTACTTTTGTTTAAATTATTATTACACAGGATTTATATAGCGCCAACAGTTTGCTCAGCGCTTTACAATATAAAGGGAGACAATACAGCAACGATACAGTTCAATACAAGAGGGTTAGGAGGGCCCTGATCCTTGGAGCTTACAATCTAACCTTACGAATGACGTTTTATTTATTTATTTATTACAAATGCATACAAACCAAAAAATAAAGAAAATAATTTAGGGGGAAAGAATTATATATATATATATATATATATATATATATATATATCAGTGCAAGCATCAAAGTAAAATTAAATAAAATTTTCAATTAAAGGAAGAATAAACTAATGCCTGTTTGGTTTGCTTATGGATCTATATAGTCAGTGCCGGCCAGCAGCAATAATTAGGACCCCTTGTTACTTTGACATTAACATGTATCAGGTGACATCTGATGTTTTCAGCTAATACCAGGACTGGTTACACTAAGGTGCATTGGCAATACAGCGATATCCAATCCCATCAGCCTTCCTGACACTTCAAAGGGAATGAGTGTGAAGATTGCCCCGTCCCCGGCAGATCTGTGTAATCCTTAGCACGAGCATGCCATGGCAGACGGAGAGCAGCCTGTACCTTGGAGTCTGGCACAGTGGCGTGTGGCTGTGTTGACTGAGCTGTCTAAATGGGGTTGATAAATGGTGTAATTGCGTGTATTAGAGGAGGCAGCTCGGAGGATTGGGTGCAGCAATTCCTGCCCAGATGACGAGTGGACAGGGGCCAGATGGAAAGGGGTGGTCCCTTCCCTGCTGTACATCGCTCTGATGTATTCAGGGGGGTCTGAAGGAGGAAAAAAAAGGAGAGAGGGAGAGAGCAAGATTTAGGAAAGTGATAGGTGGTCGGGTTTTGTGTGCTTGATGTGACTTTCTTCTCCTCTGGTAGGGTTAGTAGAGACAGAGATGGCCACCGGGTGGGGGGCACTGTAAGGGAATGGAGTGTCCCAGATAAGGATCTGCATGGACTGAGCTCTCCCAGGGAAGGCTGCTCTTCTAAGGGAAGGGAAGTTATGCAGACAACTGAGCCCTCGGATTGGAGCGGCTCTTTCCTGAGCTGATAGTGCCACTCAGCGTCTCAAGCTCTTGGACTTGATCCCTCCAAGGGATTTCATGTCCTCAGCCGTCTGTGAGAGGTAATAGGTCACCCAGCTTCTACTAAGACTTGCAGGATCACCAAGTGTGCAGCCACTTTCCGATGACCACGGAGAACCCCAGCCAGCGCTTAGATCCCTCAGCTTCATTGCCCTCCAGCCCTAGTACAGGGACTCTACAGCCTGCACTGATGAGCCAACAGCCGGCAGCCATGGACACCTCCTCTTCTTCATCCTCCAAGAGCAAGAAGCCAAGTTCGGGGCTCAGGCGCCCCGAAAAACCCCCGTATTCCTACATCGCTTTGATAGTCATGGCCATCCAGAGTTCTCCGACCAAAAGACTGACCCTCAGCGAGATCTACCAGTTCCTCCAAGCCAGGTTCCCCTTCTTCAGAGGCTCCTACCAGGGTTGGAAAAACTCTGTACGCCACAACCTGTCTCTGAATGAGTGCTTCATCAAGTTGCCCAAAGGACTGGGCAGACCTGGAAAGGGCCATTACTGGACCATAGACCCTGCCAGCGAGTTCATGTTTGAGGAGGGCTCCTTCAGAAGAAGACCACGAGGATTTCGGAGGAAATGCCAAGCTCTGAAGCCCATGTATAGGATGATGAATGGTATAGGCTTTAGCACTTCTATCCTTCCCCAAGGATTTGATTTCCAAGCCCCACCTGCATCCCTGGCATGTCACAGTAATGGCTACAACTTAGATATGATGACAAACTCTATGACTGGAGGATATGACAGCTTGAGTGGAGGTCACCATGTTCCACATATGTCCCCCAACCCTGGCTCCACATATATGGCCAGCTGCCCAGTGTCCTCCAGTGGTGACTATGGACCAGACAGCAGTAGTAGCCCTGTCCCTTCTTCTCCTGCTATGGCCAGTGCTATGGAATGTCATTCTCCTTACACAAGTCCCACCGCTCACTGGACATCATCAGGGGCTTCCCCATACCTGAAACAGCAGGCCATGGCACCTAGCAATGCACATCCGCCAGTATCCACTCAGGCATGTCTTCCTACACCTTGGAACAGACTTACCTCCATCAGAACAGCCGAGACGATCTCTCAGGTAATCTACACCATTTTTGTCTCTACAATTTATATGGATCCTAGTGATTCAACATTCTGATCAGTAACCACATTGTCATGGTGGCCATAAATAATTGATTTATTTTCCGATAGGTCTAATTAATATATAGTCCACAACCTATTTAAACTATCCGATATACCACATGGGTAACGTGGATTTTGATCAGTAGTTTGAAAACACGGTTGTGAATTATCCATTGTACCTCTGTTTTCACCATGCAATCTTATAGTCTGCTCAACTGAAATACAACCAAATTCACGACCATAGCATCTCAGTGCTGCCAAACCATGCAAAATGGCAAATACATTTATGTCCTGGTCGATCGACTTAGTTTGATCGAATCTGTTCTAAATCAATTGAAAGGGGGAGTTTATGAACATTTAGTCGTTTGCTGATCCGATCATTTTGACCAGAGAGCACATTGATCAGATAATAAAACTGAGACATGTATGGCTACCATTATAATGTTACTAATATCCTAAAATGTATAGGTTTCTTTCCATCCTTGGGTACTGCATGGGTTAGTGCAATCTAGCTAAGAAAAACACTATATTTAATAGGTTTGATTAAAGTGTATCTAAACACAAAAACAAAATATTAATATATTGCAGTTTACCAATTCTTAGATGTCACGGCTGCATTAGTTTTCTGTAAGTTTTTTTTTTTCCTTATTTGCACCTGTTGTACCTGACAAAAACTGTTATTTTTCATCTTCCTTTAAAATACCAAGTGGTGCAGCAAAAGTGGCAGTGAGAGGATTGAGACAAAACATTTAACACTGACAGGGGTGCTTACAATTGTCAGCTTTTATTCATTTATGTAAAACCTTTGTCTCAGAAGGAAAACAACTTTGCTGCAACTGCTTCCTAAAACGTGAGTGGAGATGTACATTTTCTGGTCACTTATGTACAGTCCTACTTTCTACTAGTGTATCTAACACCACCCTGTCCCTTGACTGACAATACTTCTGTTCAAAGGTGTCTCCAGTTGTCCCTCCATGCAGAATGGAGACACCCTAACAGGAAGTGTGTTACTGGATGGATCACCAGGTGAAAATAACAAAACAAACCTAAAGAAAAAAAAATCAAAACAAAGAAACAATATAGGCACCACATTTAAGGGTCGTTAAGCTACAATATATGACATTTTTGGTTTGGAGTTTAGATACACTGGGGGAGATTTACTAAAAGTGGAGCACACAGAATATGGTGCAGCTTTGCAGAGAAACCAATCAGCTTCCAGGTTTTATTGTCAAAGCCTAACTGAACAAGCTGGAGTTAGAAGCTGATTGGTTACTGTGCACAGCTGCTACAAGTTAGTGCACTAGTTTTAGTAAATCTCCCCTACTGTTCAGTGGAGTGGATTTACTAATGAAGCCTAAAAGCAACATTTCCTATAGTTGAGTGTATAAGGCGAAGCTTTGTTCATTTCAATCGATTATAAAATCCTGTTTTTTTTTGTTCCCCCATCAATGTTGGGTATTCATAGTTAACACAACACAGCAGTGTACAATAGCTATGGGAGCATTCAGCCAAAGTGAACATCCTCTATCAAAGCCTACGGTGACTTTAAGTACAGATCTGACAAACTGCAAATGTTCGCAGAGCTTAGTGCATAAGGAGAAGCTGAGTTCACATCCAATGCACAATGATGTACAAGGGAAAACCATGTTTTTGCACATAAATAAATTAAGTAAACACAACGTTATCTTATTTGCTAAATACAGGGAATGTGCACTTTGCTAAGTCTGCAGTCTCCAATCAAACTATAAATCTACTAGGAATCAAAAAATAACGATAGAAATTAATATATAGATGGACCCAATCTCAAAATACTTTGACTGAACTCGATCCTATCCGTCATATAAAATACCGATGTAGTCTCTATCCACTGCATAGCCATCAGTCACTAATAATGCTGACAGCCCTTAGCGGGTGACTAGTGCCATGTATTTATTAAATTAGCACAAGGAGGCACGTAAGAGGAGCTGGAGGTTGGAGGACTGATCACAGGTCATGTGTAAATCACAAGTAATGGGGCTCCTGGGACAGCACATTACAGTCATTTATCAACATTAATATGTAGCCCCGCTTCAAGACTTCACTTACCACTACTCTTCTAGACAGCAGGCACCATATTCCTGTCTATTGGCCACCTATCTAGGTAATGCAGTCATTATTAAAAGAACACATTGAACCTTACTATCTTGTATATATATATATATATATATATATATATATATATATATATATATATATATATATATATATATATATTTCTTATTTACATGAATTATATATATATATATATATATATATATATATATATATATACACCTTCACTGCTGGATAGATATTCAGAAATACAACTGCTTGCTCTTCATAATCTGTGTGTATATATATATATATATATATATATATATATATATATATATACACACACACAGATCATGTAGAGCAAGCAGTTGTATTTCTGAATATCTATCCAGAAGTGAAGATGTACATTCTCTTCTCTCTTTCTCTCTTTCTCTCTCTATATATACATATATAATGTTTATACAGACATTATACATATCAAAAATATATATATATATATATATATATATATATATATTAGATAGATAGATATTTCAGAGGAGACAGGAACTACATAGATATACACAACATAACACAGAGAGCAGGTCAGCACTATTGTATATCTGAATATATAAACATTTCAGTGGAGGTGGGAACAATTTAACTATACACATATGAGAGAGATCTGGTCAGCACTATTGTATATGTGAAAGTGTACATTCTCTCTTTCCTTCTTTTTCTTTCTTTCTTTCTTTCTTTCTTTTTCTTTTCTTTCTTTCTTTCTTTCTTTCTTCTTTTTCTTTCTCTTTCTCTCTCAATCTCCCTTTATCTCTCCTCTCTCTCTCTGTATATATATATATATATATATATATATATATATATATATATATATATATGAAATGTTTGTAACTATGTAAAAAAAATGTGATCTCTCTTTTTATACATAAAAACCTTTTCTCTGATGTCATATGTGTATAGCTATGTAGTTCCTTCCCCTTCCTTCGCGCACATCTTTTTATATTTATATAAATATATATATATATATAGAGAGAGAGAGAGAGCAATAGATAGATATGAAATGTTTGCAATTATATATTTATATATGTATATATATATATATATTTCAGTGGAGGAAGGTACTACATAGCTATAGACATATGACAAAGATCAGGCCAGGGCCAACACTATTAGTATATGTGGCCAGTAGTGAAGGTGTTCTTCCTCTATACATGGAGCTCTGAATCAGGCTGCTTCCAGACATAAGGCGAAGGGGCGATGTAAAGGCAGCAGAACATACTGGATTTGTACTGGGAAATTTGCAAATAGACCTTTTAAATACGGGTCGCAGAGGTTAACTAAACAAAGACAGTCTAAGCTGGACCACACCGAAGAGGATTTGAGCCTGACTTAACCCACATGAGAGCAGCCTCTTGTTCAATTTTATGGGAATTTCAACAAGTAACAACTGCAAAAAAAAAAATGTCTCACTGTGATTTTTTTTTTTCATTCCACCCTCGTTGAACTGTCAATCACGTCCTGGGGAGCCAGGCAGCCCTCCTTATCTGTGAAGATATCCCCTATGGGAGTTTATCTGTATAATACATGTATAATCCAGGATTGTGTACTTACCAGAAGAGATTACACTGGCTGCATATCTGTACCGTGAACATGATTTGATTAGCACAAAGGATCCACAATTGTGATGATAGTATAAACCTATTCGCAGGCACCAATTAAAAAATCAGGTACAAAAGAAATGAACACAGTCAACAAAAAGCAGAGTTTTGTGATTATTAAACTCTACAAAGAGAGTTGTTCCTGTTTCATCTGAAATGTGTCTGTCACTATGACATGTGTTTATTAGATATACATTTATCAGATCAGTGTGTGTATGTGTGTGTGTTTGTGTGCATGCTGTGTAAACATACCAAAACGTCTGATCAATACATAAAATTACTCATTGTTTATAACCAAATATTACTTTTCTACAGTACACATAACTTTAGTCTATAATTAGCATTCCAGCACCGTGCTTTTCTTAGGTGTTTGCAACTAGATAAACAAATTATAAATGAAAATAATATAATAAAATAGAGAGACAATAAGGATTGAATTATTTATTAATAATAATAATAATTACATCAGACATTCAATACTGGCCCTCAGAAACCAACAAAGTGCATGACTTCTCCAATTGTCATTTTTCAGTGCCAGTATTAGTTATTGATTATTAGAAAGCACAATGAAACAGATCTTGCAGCAGTCACCTTAAAATATAAGGCTTATATACAATTTTTATTAGAATCAGTAGTAGTAGTAGTAATAGTAGTAATATTGGTATTATTCTTGTTATTAATATTATTATTAGCAGTTGCTAGAGTTACTTTGGGTACAAAGAACCTTGCAGCTATGCAACTGGCCAGGTTAATATTATTATGTAATATTAGTAATATTTTGGTTGTTTTATTATAAAATATTATTAATATTATAATTATTATATTTTGCAATTGCTAGCATTAGTTTAGGTACAAGGTAACTTGCCACTTGCAATTAACCAAGGGATGGGGGATTTTTTTGTGGGAAATACAAGCTAATTATTGTTTTGATAGTTAGTAATAGTAGCAATGGTGTTGTTGTTGTTATTATTACTATTATTATTATAATATTTAGCAATAGCTAGCCTTACTTTGGCTAGAAGTGAAGATGCAGCTATGCAATTAGCCAAGTTGAGTATGGCTATCTTTAGAAAGTGCAGGCTAATTATTATTATTATTAGTAGTAGTAGTATTAGCAATATATTATTATTACAATTATTATTATTATTATTATTATATTTAGCAATATCTAGCATTACTTTAGCTAGAAGAAAAGGTGAAGCCATGCAATAAGCCAGTTTAAGTTATG